GGATTCGTTTGCCAGCTGGGTTATAGCATTATACTCAGAGGTACTGTAATTAGAAAGCTAGTTGGCGCTCCGAGGCATGGGTGGCATCTGGGGAAGACAGCCCATGCCCTGGCTTATCCTCTGAGCGTGCTTCCTCTAGAACCTTTCCACCTGGGCATTTGGAGGGACCTCAGAGCATTGTCATCAGCGATAAGCTCTAGCCTCACGCAGAGGAGTTTTATTTCCATTAGAAATACTCGTGGCGTTTCTGTTCCTCTTTGCCAGCAGCGGCTCAGACCTGCCCTGGCATTTTAGAACGAGGGGGATTTTAAAGATCGCCCATCTTCATCTCCTTATCTCTGGGTCAGGAAAGTGAGGGCAGAAAGAAAGCAGCGTATCCAAAACCGTAAAGCCCGTGTGTGGCCGAGTACGATTGGAACCCAGCTCTTCCTTTTGGGTTGGCAGCAGATGCCTGCAGTGTCAGATTCCTGATTTATATTGGACTTAACATGTGTTTGTAGGGACAGGTTTTTAATGTCATCATTATAAGTGACTGATATCTGTGTGCTCCAGTGAAGCGTGCTTGCAGCATATAAAAGAAAACCAAATTTGCTTTTTACTATTTTTTTAGTTACACAAGGGTGGAAATATTTTTTTATGTTTGATTAACAAGCAACATCTTTCATTGCACATGGCAAGTTAACAAAATGTAACAAATGTTCCTAATTGCCGGCCAGGAAAAACGGTAGCACTGCCGTGGGCCTGTCCCGAGTGTGACGTGCAGCCGTGGGTTGGCTCACAGAGGCCTTTCTGTCCGCCGTGGGGAGCAGTCGCCCGAGCCGTCCGCGTAGAGCACGGAACGGCAGGCAGCTGGCAGGAGCCACCTTGCGGGGTGGGGGGAGGGGGGCTTTTCCGTTTAGAATTTGAGGGGGAGTGTGGAAGACTACACTGACGGTAGCTTGTCATTCCTTTTACCCAGTAAACATCTTGCTCTTGAAGCAAGCAATTTTCCGTAAAAGCACGCATTTGTGCGTTCCAGTTTCTAAAGGCCCTTTGCACGTGCCGGTGCGAGGGTGCTGTAGACTTCCTGCTAGTGTGTGCTGCGGGTTAAAGCGTTTCATTATTCTCCGGCTGGTTGCAGGTGGCACAGTGCTGGCCATAGGGTGTGTGCAGTAGGATGTGTTTTTGCTTCACGTGACATGTTCTACAATGAATTTCTGCCGCCCGAGTGTAGAGCCTTACCCCGAGAACACTTACTTCTGCCTGAGGGAGCTCTGTGGTTCCATCGGGCCAAACCCACAGAAGTTACAGCACGCGAGGGGTGGTCACCCTCACCCGGCCCATCGGCAGGGGCTGCTGAGGCCTGTGGTCCTGCTGCTGCTGCTTGCAGTGGACTAGCATTTAGCGCTTCCATGTAGCCGTATAGGCAGACTTTTCCCCGGATTGTAATTGCAGCTGTTGGTCATCCTTTCTAGACACCAGATGTAGTAACTTAAGAATCTAATTATGACTAGTTTAAGTCAGCTTTTGAATATTTGGAAAGAACACAAGAATCTGAACTCCTTAGGAAGGTAGAGCAGGGACATGGGAAGGAGTCGGGTTGGCTGGACTGAGATAATCTTCGGGATTTTTTTGGGACCCAGAGCCTCTAGGTCTGTGAGTTTAATCACCTTTTGATGAATCAGTTCAAAAGAATTTTGGAGGGACAGTGGGCAAAAAGTTCCTGTCGATTAGAAAAGAGTAGTCACGTCTGGTGGAGATCCCATGGCACAGACATGATTTTTGCCTTGTGTCTGAACAGTGGGCAACATTAGAAGGAGCAAGCCTGTCTGCACCCTTTCCATGCAGCTGAGTCTGTGCCATTCTGAAGACCAGGAAGGGCTAATGCTGCCCGCAGAGGCTTCTCTGAGTGACTGATAGCACGTGCTTCGGTGGAGCGTGATAGTAGCATGTAAAAGAAAATCAAGCCCTGGCCGGTTTGGCTCCGTGGATAAAGCATCGGCCTGTGGACTGAAGGGTCCCAGGTTCGATTCCGGCGAGGGGCACATGCCCAGGTTGCAGGCTTGATCCCCACTGGGGGGCGTGTAGGAGGCAGCCAATCGATGATTCTCTCTCATCATTGTTGTTTCTCTCCCTTCCTTTCTGAAATCCATATAACAAATATTTAAAAAAAGAAAAATGAAAAACCAATACATTTTTTTAAAAAAGAAAATCAAATTTGCTTTGCGGGGAGCAAGGCCGATGTCCACTTGGAGAGGGCGTTGACCCACAGAGGGCTTTGCCGAGGTGGGAGTGTTACTTAGACCAGGGACTAAATGAAGTCTGCAAGAAGGTGCTAGGTTATTCTTAGGTGCTTGTGTTTCTGTAAATCTTACTCTAATTCACTGATTTTTAACCTGAGGTCTGAACACATCTTGTGGTTTGGAAGTCCATGAACAGACATTGTGGACTTGTACACAGAAGTGTGGGAGAGTCCCAGGGAGGGAACCCCAACTTCTCTCAAAGGTTCCTGCCCAGGATAAGAACCACCCCTCTGAGTTACATACGATTCTGAATATAACGAGGACACTGATGCTGGTCAAACTATTTTCTTCTGGGATAGCTCAGTTGGTTAGAGTGTCATCCCAACAGACAAAAGGGAGCAGGTTTGATCCCCGGTCAAGGCACATACAAGAATCAACAATGAGCCCTAACCGGTTTGGCTCAGTGGATAGAGCGTCGGTCTGCAGACTCAAGGGTCCCAGGTTCGATTCTGGTCAAGGGCATGTACCTTGGTTGCGGGCACATACCCAGTAGGGAGTGTGCAGGAGGCAGCTGATCGAAGTTTCTCTCTCATCGATGTTTCTAACTCTCTATCCCTCTCCCGTCCTCTCTGTAAAAAAAAAAAACCAATAAAATATATTAAAAAAAAAAAAGAATCAACAATGAATGCATGGATGAGTGGAAAGACAAATCAACACTCTCTCTCTCTCCCTCTCTCTCTCTCCCCCCCCCCTTTCTCCCCCATCCCCTCTTCTCTCTCTCTAAATCAATACATACAATTTTTTTAAAAAAACTATTTTTGTAGAAAAATTGGACCTGTCTCCTCATGGACTGATCTGTACTCTGACATGCCCACGTCTGGGGGAAGCTGGTGCCTGAACATTGCTTGCCTCTTTGTAACTAATCACTTACAAGCTTCATGCCCCAAAGAATGACAGAAAGCATCACTAAAGAATGAGGGTTGCTCCGGCTGGTGTGCTCAGTGGATAGAGCATCAGCCCGAGCACAGAAGGGTCTTGGGTTTGATTCCTGGCCAAGGCACATACATACCTGGTTTGCAGTTTGATCCCTCGCCTGGGTCAGGGAGTGTACAGGAGGCAACCACTCACTGTGTCTCTCACACTGATGTTTCTCTCCCTCTCTCTCCCCCCTCTCTCCCTCCTTCCCTTCCACTCTCTAAAAAGCAGTGGAAAACTATCCTCAGGTGAGGGTTAACAGCAACAACAAAAGAATGAGGATTGTGAAAGGACTAAAGAGTGTTTTTCTGTTCCTCCTCTGCCTCCTGATTCCTCTGACAATATGAGACCAATTCTGCCCCGGCTAGGTGGTCCAGGCTCAGCCGGACCCTGGGGCAGCCCCCGTGTCCCTGCCCCAGCAGGACAGCCAGCGGCCTCCACACTGCAGGCCCACGGAGGCAGTTCCAGCCTGTTCAGGCGGCTCCTCTTTGAGCCTCATTTACTGGGACACCTGCCTTTCCTGTGTTGTAGGTTTCAGGAATTATCTGTTGATTGATTAGGCCAAAAAGCCAAAGATGTCCTTTGTATAGAAGTCCTGTCCATTGAGGCTTCACTGTGTATGTGTAAGTGTGAGAGTGTGTGTGTGTGTGTGTGTGTGTATGAGTGTGTGTGTGTGAGTGTGTGTGAGTGTGTGTATCTGTGTGTGTATGAGTGTGTGTGTGTATGCGTGTGTGAGCATGTATGTGTGTGTGGGTGTGTGTGTGTGTGTGTGTGTGTGTGTGTGTGTGTGTGTGTGTGTGTGTGTGTGTGTGTGTGTGTGTGTGTGTGTGTGTGAGTGTGTGTGTGTGTGAGTGTGTGAGTGTGTGTGTGAGTGTGTGTGTGTGTGTGTGTGTGGTATTTGTTATTTTAGAATCATTGCTGGAGCTGTTCTATCTCAGATTTGCCTTGTTTCCACGTAGTCAGTGACATATTTCTCTGAGAAATGCTCCTTCAGTGCGGGGTGGGGAGCAGGAGGAGGGGCTCCCTGTGACCTCTTACAGACCTCATCCTGCCCAGTGGCATCGTCAGGGGGAGGGGACAGGTATGGAGGCAAGAAAACCATTATCCTGGGGAGCCAGCAGGGGACATGCCATTTGTGACCCTGTGACTCTCATACCAGTGACCTCAGCTGCCCCCTCTGTGCGGGAGGCCCTCGGTTCTCTGCTTCCTGGCCTCTGGGGAACAGAGAAAGCTGCCGTTCTTGCCAGCTGCTGTGGCATGCCCTCAGCCAGGGCTCAGAGCTGCTGACTGAGTAAGGGAGTGGGGCCCCACATCACAGGGCTCGTGGCTTACCGTGCAGAGAGAGACGCTGCTGAGAGCACGTGTGGCAGAGGCCCCTGTGGGATTCTCATCTCCCCCCTGACCAAGTCGTGGTCCCTTTGGGACGCCCTGAGTCGCTGGAACTGCTTTACTTTTTCAGATCAGCAGTGCGATGATGGGAAGAATCCCAATACTCAGAAGCCTTCGCTCCCGAGAGAAGCAGGCCGGGAGAGACGTCACGCTTAAGAATGAGCACCCACCCCGAGAAGCCCGCAGCCAGCACGCAGCTCCGCCGGGCGCTGTAAGAAGACCCGGGGACCCAGCCCAGCCGGAGGCATGTTCCCCGCAGGGGGAGGATGTGCCTTCCGACACTGTTTACGTGGGGAACCTCCCCCGGGACACGCGAGTGAGTGAGCTGAAGAGAGCCCTCCGAGAGCGGGGCGCAGCCCCACTGCGGCTCACCTGGCAGGGCCCACAGCACAGGGCCTTCCTCCATTTCCAGGACCCAGCCGCTGCCCAGCAGGCCCTCTCCCGCTTACAGGGCTTACACCTGGGTGCCAACACCCTGAAGGTGGCGCTGGCCCAGCAGCAGAGGGCCAGTGACCTGGCAGGTGGCCATGCTAGAGAGCCGCACCCAGACCATTGACCATCAGTGACAGCTGACCTCCGGAGGCCCGCGCGGTAGGATGCGGCCCAACTGTTGCTACACAAGCTGCGTTGACCAGGTTGGTTCTTTCTAGGAAGTCACAGCCGCAGGCCCTGCCTCCCGGTGATCTCCTGACGAGGAGGGAAGTTGACCAGCACACTTCCTCCTCTCGGGAGGCTGAGCGCCCCATGGATTCAGTTCTGTTTATCGTGGCCCTCAGCCCACTGGATGGCATAGCCATGCTGGTTCTCTGGGGAGACCGCAGTTGGAGGGTTTAGGGGACCAATGAGCAATAAGCGAGTGGGAGTAAGTGGTGACAGTGGATTAGAAGAGTCTGAGGCCCCGGCAGGACCAGACGCAGGAGCAAACCAGGACGCGCTCGTGCCCAGGACCCTGCCCGGCACTGCTGGAGGGAAAGCTGCATTCACATTGCAGAAGCCAGGCACCTCCGCCTCCTGGGTACAAGCCGCTTGTCTCAGCTCAGTCCTGGTGTCGGAAATGGAGAGCTGGTGCGACATGGACCCTTGGTGGAGCGGTCTCCCCTCTGTCCTCGCCTTACCTTTCCAGCCCTCCTCCTCCCCTGGGTTTCGCTCTGCACTGGGCCAGCGGGCCCGCACACAGCAGGAAGTGCTGGCTTATAGGAGACAGTGGTTTTAGGAACTGACCATGCAGGCCTGAATCACAGGCAGAGTCCGCAAGCGCTCTCGCACTCCCATTTGCCCAATGCCTATGTTCTCCGAGTTTCTTCCTCTAGTTCCTTGTTCCTAAAAAACAAGCTGGATTTGGGCTGAACTGTGCTTTCTAAACAGAAGCACTTTTGCAATTGATCCTGGGCACAACGTCAAAATAAGCATTTAAGTGGAGGCTTTATTTTTCCAAATGTACACGCATTGGAAATTTTATTTTTTCACCAGGGGGCCTTCCTGTGTATTTTAAGTACATTATGATGCCTCAAGAGGCCAGGCCCTGCACGAACTTTCAAGAAAATATTCTTAAGGTACTCAGTCTCCCTTGGAAAAAACATTTCCTTTTTGGTTTTACAATGAAAATACTGTGGAGACTTCGGAAAGAAAATCTATCCAAATGGACAGATATTTCTCTAAGAAAATCTATCCAAATAGGTATTTCTCTAGCAAAATGGGACTATTCAGGAACAACGAAGAATTGTAATTCGGGATGCAGGGTCTAATGGCAAACCGTGTGAAAGCCTTGAGAAACGAAGGAGAGGAATGCTCTTTTATGGACTTGGGAGGAGCTGTTGTAAACAAAGAGCCCATTGGAGGAAACTGAAAGATGGAAGTGTAGTGACTTTCCATTGGCTGAGCTGTCACTAGGCCAGAAGGAATCCTTTCTTCCTCCTGCTGAGCAGCAAGTAGAATCCTGCCATGGGAGATGCGGGGTGGTCCCTCCTGTTGGGGTCAGTAGTGTGCATAGAGTGGCACGTTTGAAAGAACTCTCTTGCAGCTTCTGGACTCCACTTTCAACGAGGTTTCACCATCCTTAGATTTGTTCATTAAATGCAGACTCCTTTTCCAAGCTGTCATGAATAAAATGAGAGTAAATACCTTAAAACGGACCAGGGCCTTCCCTGCCTTGGGACCTCTGGGCTTCCTCTCTCTTGGCCTGAACTGTCCACCGTCGTCTGCAGGGCTGGTTTTGTTTTGTCACTAGGCGTTCAGCAGTGATGTCAGAGGCCGACTCTGGCCACCCAACCCAGAGTAGCGAGCTGATCATCCTAACTCCTCACTGTTTCCTTTTTAGTTTTTCTTTTTTCCCGGAATACCTCTTGTATTTGGCATGTTCTTGTTTGGTTTTTGTTGACGTTTTCACTGTTGACTAGCACTCCAGAACAGGAAATGTGTCACTGCTGATCTTCACTCCTGCTGTACCCCAGCTGCGAGCAAGTCCTGGCACATACATCGCAGCTCGGGAAACTAACATGTGGATGGATTCACCCGAGCCAGAGAGGGAAAGGAGAGCATGATGATACCGCCCGACGCCCTGTGTCCAGTTGTGCATGCGCCAGCCTGCCGTGGACGGCGTTACCCCCATCAATAGTGGTCCCTCTTGGTTAAGCCAGGTCGCTTGGGTATTCTGTCACTCACAGCCAGAATAATCCAGATGAATGATACACAGATCTGAATGAGTTTCATCATGTTTATATTTGCGAGAACGTAGTATAAGGAAAACTAAAGTCCACGTGCCTGAAATAGAAGTCCCCCAAACGTAGCAGCCTGGGCCCACCTTTTACCCTCCGTCCTGCCTCAGACAGGCCTGGACAGGCTTCCTCAGAGCCGCCAGGAAGAGCACTCAGATTGCAGGACAAGCGCTGAGGGACCCAGCTTTTTGTTCCCAAGACTCAAGTACTTGTCGGAATCATAATTGTATAATTCACATGACGATAATGAGGTTGAAGACTGGAAAATGACCACTTGACAACATGCCGAGAAATATAGACATACGTGTTGCTGTCTTGGTTTGTGGGTCCCGTCCTGTATTTTCCTAAATGGTGGTGAGCTCTGCCACTGGATTTGCCTCGTGCCAAATCTGCAGCTGCACAGTTTCCAGAAACACAGTGAGTGCTGGCCTCTAGGAGCCCAGAAGCGCAGGTTCCACTGTGGTCTCGGCTCGGTTCCTGTGCTGCGTGCTACTCACGTGGCTTATGCGTGTTTCCGCTGCTTCATCTTTAGGACAAACCCTCTGGTGTCTGTAACACCTGACCAGTTCTCACAGTCTGTGTTTCTTTGGAGCTTCACTGGCCTCCATCACTTAGATTTTTTTCTGTTTATAAAAGTAAACATAGCCATTGTGGGAATTTTGGAATATCAGAAGTATAAAGGGGTATTGCCCATCACCCCACCATTTAAGCAGCCTTGATTGATACCACCTTTTATTTATTTTCAGTCTTCTCTGAAGTTTTAAAACAGCTAGGCTTAGCAATGTGAGCTCCAGAAACAAACTTTTGGTGGGGGCATTAGTTTTGCCAGTGTTAGGTATGCTGTGCCACGGCAGTCACATAGCTCCGAACTCTATTTGCTCATCTACAGGTGGTCATAGATCTGTGAAGGCTAGATGAGATAATGCCTCAAAAATGTGTGGTCTGCACATAGCAAGTGCTCATGATTGTGTACTTTTGTGGGGGGTGGGGCATATGGCTCAGCCAGCCAGAGACCCCCTCGATCACCTCTCAGACTGGGAAGAGCAGCTCCAATGGGGCAGAACTCAGGACTAACCTGAGGTCCTGTCTCATGTCCTTGCATTGAGAGCAAGAGGCTAAGGCGGCAGCAGCAGGCCCGGGCCTGAGGGGTATCAGTGATGGCAGTGATGGCCATTTCCCAGGTGACAAAAGCTGTCACGGATGCTGAGACCTGGTGGACGTGGGCAGGGGTGACCACAGCACTGAGCTTGCTGGAGGGCATGTTTATGAAGATGGGAAGCAGCCATTTCTGCTCCAGAGGGGCCCCTGGCTATGGGGTTTACTCCAGACAGAAGAAGGCAAGCACCACCTATGTTCCCCTGCTCAGTAAGCCATGGCCGGCTCCTCCCAGCCCTCAGATGGCTGGGCCATTGAACTGGAGCAGCCCCTTCTGTTGAGATCTGGGAGAAAGTGTGACGGCTCACAGGTGGAAAAGCAGCACCTACGGAGAACCCACTGGCCAGTTTCTAGGACATACAGTCTGAATACAGTTGAATAAAGAAAACAGATCAACAGGGGGCCTTTCAGAGACTCTCAAAGTGAAAGGGTCTGACACATGAGATGTGAAGGAAGAGCATTTATGAAAAAGATTGACTCCAGGCAACAAGTGGATTTCAGGCAATGCCTGCTCTGTACTGAAAAGTCGGAGAAAACAGTTTCCACTTTTCTATGAAAAAATCGTGTCAGTGTTTTACCTTCTCTGTCTGATCTCGAAGTACACAGGAAATCTTGAGCTCTGATATCAAAGACCCTGTGGGCTAGATCACTATCAGAAGAGAGCTTGCTGAAAGTAGGCAGAAAGGGAAAGCATTGAGCAGGATAGGTAAAGATGTTTTTTAAAAATAAAAATGTGTGATTCTACATTTATATTCGACATGGTGTGGAGGAGAGAAGACAGCAAGGTGAGAAAACTGGAGAAGAGACAGTGGCAAAGCCGCAGCTGACACAGGGAAGGCAAGACAAGCCAACATTCATAACATGGAGAGCCCTGGCCGGTTTGGCTCAATGGATAGAGTGTTGGCCCAAGATCTGAAGGGTCCGGGTTCAATTCTGATCAAAGGCACGTGCCTTGGTTGCAGGGTCGATCCCTGCCCTGCTCAGGGTGTGTGTAGGAGGCAAGCAATTGGTATGTCACTCTCTCTGTCTCTCCCCCTCCCACTGTCTCAAAATCAATGGAAAAATGTCCTTGGGTGAGAATTAACAAAAAACATGGGGGGTTGGGGGGCTCCCCTCAGCTGCAGAAGGCAGTGTCAGTACGCAGACCTCCACAACCGATTGTGTGTGTGTGTGTGTGTGTGTGTGTGTGTGTGTGTGTGTGTATCCCGTGACAGGATTCCTGCTTGGAGAGAGGAGGATGCCAGCACTGCTCCCTGGGCCCTTGTCTACAGATCTGAACAGACAATAAGGAACCTGCAGTCATTGAGGAAAACCAGCATCTTGAATCAGTATCTCTCCCTTGTGGAGATGGCAGTACAGGAATCAGAAGGTGATGAGAAGGCTATCATAGCCATTACAAAGAGAATAAACTGGTAAGGAAAAACAATTCTTAGAAGTTAAAAACACCATAAAATAAAAAGTCACACTGCAGGCAGAATAGACGCAGATACACTTAGTTGGGAGATAAGCCACATGATTCTTCCTGGAGCTAGCACAAAGACGATAGAAGTGAAAAGTATGAAATGATGGGGAAAGTAGACAAAACTTACTTCAGCTAAAGAGGATTTTATTTCATGTCGAACAGTCCTCAAAATCCAAAACGGGAAGCATATAGGTCAGCAGCCTTCCCATATAGTATTAGTAACTTACCGAAAATTTTGTTTTTTATGCAGTAGCAACCAAAACTAATAACTTGGGAGTACACCTAAAGAACAGTCCAGGGGTCACATGGCTAAAATTACAAAGCTTAAAAATATGAAAGATCTGAATAAAGAGGCATGCTGTGCTCTAGAGTAAAAGTTTCAATATTATAAAGTTATTATATCTCCATGTATTAAGATACTCTATATGTGACCATCAAAATCCCAAAGAATGTTTTCATGGGACCTGATAAGGGGGATGTCAAAACCTACTCTACAGCCTCAGTGCTTAAAGCAGCATGGTACTGGCGAATCGGCGCACCAGTGGAACACAGTTTCCGAGCGGGCGGGGTTCTAGAATATAAGAGTAAACTCGAAGCGGGGAGGGCTTGCCTCTTAAGAGATGGAATGAGAGCTACTAGCTGGTGATTTGAAGGGTGAATAGAGCAATGGACTTCATACCACGCATCAAAATAAAATCCAGCTAATTTAATAGACAGAAAAAGAAAGAAAAGGATTTGGAGGTAATGCCAGGGCATGTTCTATAACATTGGGAAGGGCAGCATAGGCAAGACCCTGAATTTAAGGACTTTATTCTATTCATTTGTTCCCTCTCAGAAGGTCGGATTTTAACGGGTGCGGAATGCAATGACCCCAAGATGAACCATCTGAAGAATATTCTCCAAGTAGGAAAGTTGACTATTACCCTCTTCAAAGCTGCCTAGTGCAACAAACCTCAGCTATATATAAATCAGCATGGAAGGTTCGTTGCCTTTCCGTGGAGTTTGGGAGCTGGCACCCAGTTCATGTCGTACTGTTAGCATAGGCAACTAGGAGTTAACAAAAGAGAAGGGAACCCGGCTGGCATCGCTCAGTGGTTGAGCATTCACCTATGAACCAGAAGGTCATGGTTTGATTCCCGTTCAGGGCACATGCCCAGGCTGTGGGCTCGATTCCCAGTGTGGGGTGTGCAGGAGGCAGCCCATCAATGATTCTCTCTCAATGATTCTCTCTCGTCATTGGTTTCTGTATCTCCCCCTCCCTCTCTGAAATCAATAAAAAGTATTTTAAAAAGGAGGAGAGCTAGACTGGCTGAGCCTAATGATGTCTGGAAGGTACAGCTTCAGACACACCAGGGGGAGCCGCATCTTCTGCCAAAGGGGACGTAATCCCTGGAAGACCCAACTCCCAGTCTCCCAGGGGACAGCCCTCCATCAGCCAGGAGCCAGGGAGGGGAAGGAGGGGTCTCCTTTGCCTGGCACAGCGCAACAGGAGCCCAGATGGCCGCCATAAAGGGAAGGTTTCTAGCCTGAGGAAAGGATGGGATTGGATGAGGGCACGAAACCCCCGAAGAACTAGGAAAGAGATCGGATGGGGAAGGACCAGCACAAGCCCGGGAAGCATTAGGAAAGACATTGGTTAGTTTGAAAGGAAGCCGGCTCTTTCCCAAGCCTAACAGAGGCCTGGCTCACAGTGTGCATTTGCTCATTTGTTGGCCTATTTGCCCATGTTCTCCCCGTAGCAGCCCTAGCAGCCGCGGGGCTCCACGCACAGGTCATTGCCGCTGTGCACATGGGCAGCCACACAGGCCCAAACTTGGGCCTCTGTATGGCTGCACAGCCCCAGCCGGAGCAGCCGGAGTGCAGCAGCAGACACTAAGCTCCCCAGATGGGGACAGAGACAGCTGGACTGAGCGCTGGCACGGACTAGAGCCAGCTGGGGGCAAACTACGGCCCACGGGCCGGATCCAGCCCGTTTGAAATGAATAAAACTATTGAAATAAAAGACTGTACCCTTTTATGTAATGATGTTTACTTTGAATTTATATTAGTTCACACAAACACTCCATCCATGCTTTTGTTCCGGCCCTCCGGTCCAGTTTAAGAACCCACTGTGGCCCTCGAGTCAAAAAGTTTGCCCATCCCTGGACTAGACTCAACTCCAGCTGCGTCGGATGCCCTCCCGATGCTGGGTCATGGCGCACCTCTCTGACCTGGCTCTTCTGGGCTTGGCGAAGACAAGGCTGGCCTTCCACAGCAGGATGGAGGAGACACGGGCTGGAGACGGGCCTTTATTTTCACGTCAATAAGTCTTACCACTGCACCTCACCCTCCCAGGCAGGGCTCCCCAAAATGCTTTTCTTGTGACTCTGAAGAGCCCCATTTCCGCCGCCAACGCATCTGTTCTAAGGGAAGGGAAGTTTATAGAAAATCCAGTTTTATCACCTGGAAAAGAGTCATCTTCAGGAGGAAACCCAAGCTGTTGGTACCCAGTCCCTCCCACCGCCTTTTCCTTCCACAGATTTCCCTAAATCCCATCACGCTGCCTAATAAAACAGGTGGGATGCACAGCCAGCTGGCCGGGCCCAGGTATCTTCTTGCTGATGCCCCAGCACACACTGCCTCAGCCCTGTGAAGTGGGAAGCAATGTTCCCCCCACCGTTACAAATGGGAAGACGGCAGATC